CACAATAGGGAACCCACTAACCCAGCGAGACGAGAGGAATTGTCTTTGAGTGCAAAGACAGCCTCTCATTAACCAGCTGGACAAATACAAATCCCTCCTCACACACACACACACACACATTCCCAACTCTCCGGAGACCACCGCATCTCTTTAGCCAAATGAGAGAGCTTAAAAGAGCTTCCATTGTGTTTAACACTCGCTGTAGTGATGGAGAAGGCTTGCGTGTGTGTCTAGAACGCCCTCTGGGAGTGTGTGCGCAGCCCATGTGGGCATGGTAATACACACAGGGTCTCTTGACTTTTCCCGACAGAATCCCAGACGGAGATAAGCGGCTTAGAGGATTCTCCGGGTCTCCTGACAACAGCGGACACGTCTTATCATCATATACATAATGCTAATGGATTCAGACCAGTTACTGAGAATTCATGGGCTGTGTTTGGAATGGAATACTGGCAAACTGTGGAGTGTGTACTAGATACTGCATACTGTAGTATATGAAACCATGTTGTATACTGTAAATGTTTTTATATGTAAAATATTGTTTTATTTTGTAAATATTTAAAATTATAGATTTTTCATAATATTTAACTTTTACATTAAAATAACAAATATATGTAAAAATTTTGATGTGAATATGGAGTTTTTTCATATTTATGTGGGTGTGTGTGTGTGTGTGTGCGTGCGTGTGTGTGCGCGTGTAAATATATATAAATTAATTCTGTATATATTTAAAAATGCTATATTTGTATGATATCGAAAATGTTACATTTAAATAAAATATGTATGTATCTAATGTATATCATGAATGTTATATATATATTATGAAAAGTATATTATATAAATGTATATATATATATAAAAAACACTATCATCTTAAATGATTATACCGCATTTTTAATGCAATTGTTATTTTTAATACAATGACATAATGTAATTGGACTGCACAAAGCTACAAATAAGGTTGTAGCTCATGTCACTTCCAGTTCATTTGTCACACTAGAAAATTGAATGTTGCATCAAGTGCATTGAATTGTGGGATAAAGTGTCTTGCACAATAAGCTCTGGTTGTGAGCTGCACATTTTAAAACTTGCATACTTCTAGTAGGCATTCTACATTAGTATGCAACTCCAAACAAATCCCATTTGTGTTACACAGAAGCTGGATTTTATTAGTTACTGATTAAATACCCTGGTTGAGTTCAGTCAAGCCAGAACAGTAGAGCTAGATGCTAATGCTAACATGCAGTCACAAAACATAGAAAATACTTTGTGTCTGCACGTTAGCATGAGCATCAAGCTCTTCTTAGCATTCACTAGAAACAGCATATTATCTATGCATCCTTCAGCATGCATGCACCCTGATCATCTTTATTATAGACAGCATGCAAACTGTGGTTTGGATACGCATATTGATGCATAGTAAGTGATTTACATTGCATTGCCTTTGAGTGTTTCTC